ATCGTGCAAATGGTATTCTTAATTATGAATAGATAGCAGAGAGTTATTATGTAATTGTATTATATTTAGTGATATGATTCTCATTGAATGAATGAAAGCAAAGTTTAGAACAGCATATATATGTATATATTATATATACATAATAGATATATATATATATATATGTATATGTATATATATATATATATATATATATATATATATATATATATTAGGGTGGTCTTTAAAATGGTCATTTTCGAATTTCCTTACTCCCAAGGGCTCAAATGGTTCCAAATAGATAAAAAACAATTCTCTGAAAGTTTTAGCTCTTAATATTAACGTTTAGATAGAGCGCAATTCAATCAAAGATTTGTATGAAAGTAGCATGGAAAATTTTTCAAAAATTTTAAAAATGTTTTTTAAATGTAATTTAGCGAACAAATGAATGAATAAAACTCATTCATTTGTCGCTAAGTTTTACCTAAAACATTTTTTTTAATTTTCAAAAATTTTTCCATGCTCTTTCCATACAAACTTTGATTGAATTGCGCCTATCTAAACGTTAATATCAGAGCTAAAACTTTCAGAGAATTGGTTTTTATCAATTTGGAACCATTTGAGCCCCTGGGAGCAGGAAATTCGAAAATGACCATATTAAGGACCACCCTAATATATATATATATATTAGGATAAGTCCTTATATGGACATTTTCGAATATCCCTGCTCCCAAGGGCTCAAATGGTTCCAAATTGATAGAAAAACAATTCTCTGAAAGTGTTAGCTCTTAATATATGTCTTTTAGACAGAGCGCAATTCATCAAAGTTTTTGTATGGAAATTTCAAAAATTTTGCAGAGCGTCGAATTTTTCACTTAATTCATTTGTCGCAAGTTTTACCTAAAAATTTTTTTTTCAATTTTAAAACTTTTTCTATGCTATTCCATGAGCTAAAACTTTCAGAGAATTGTTTTATCAATTTGAAACCATTTGAGCCCTTGGGGGCAAAGAATTTCGAAAATGTCTATGTTAAGGAACACCCTAATATATATATTGTAAGGCTTCGATAAAAGAATCCAAAAAGTAATGAAAAACAAAAAAAGTTTTTTACTGTCGACGTTTCGGAACTAGGTAAGTTCCATCTTCAAGACCTCTGTCAGAAAACATGATCTTGATAAGATTTAAGCAAAAAATATGTCTAAGAAAAGCAGAAGATTATGGATTTTTTTATATAAAATGAATAAAATTGTGAAAAAATAATGTACAGAAATATGACAGTATAATCAAAATGAAAATGATAAAAATAAACTAGTGGATTATACAACAAAATATTAAAAATGTTAAAAAAAATTTAAAAAAAGTTTAAAGAAAAGGTTACTGAAAAAAACAGAATTAATTACCTGTATGATTGATTATGCACTAACACTTTTTCACTAAAATAGATTTTATCAAAAAAAAGTGTTTTTATAAAATTATTTTCAGACGAAGAAACAAATTTTGTAATTCAAAATTTCTTTGAATTACGTCTTTTTTGAGTTTGTTATGTGATACGAAAAGTATTACTATTACTATATAGTTTTGGTCTCACATAACAAACATTTTTCATGAAAAAGTGTTAGTGTATAATCAATCATACAGGTAATTAATTCTGTTTTTTTTTCAGTAACCTTTTCTTAGAACTTTCTAATTTTTTAGCATTTTTAATATTTTGTTATATTATATTTCATATTTATTTACATATTAGGTATCATAATTCAGCAATTCATACCAAAAGATCAAAACAAAATGGTTAAAACATGCTTTGTGTCTTTGTATTTTTCTAATATGAAGTATAAAATAGAAATAATAAAATATAAATATGTTCAATGAAGCAATGAAGCTTAATCGATCATTTCCCAATACAAACTTCTAAAACAAATTTTCACAATATTATTTGTTTTTTTTTAGTTTCAAAATAGAGAATCCGGCTAATAGAATGACTGATTCAGTTTACAAAGTAAATTGCATTATTTCATTTTTAGTTTTATATTATTTGCCAAGTTTTGGTATTTAATTTATTTTCTTAGAAGTGTTCTACTCATTTGTTTCGATTTTCTTGATATTTATAATATTGTATATATTATTGAGCATTACTATTGAACCTGTATTTTTCTTTTCAATTTTTATATTAGTGAGTTTGGGATTTCTGAAATTACATCTAAGCAATTCAAAATGCAAAATATTCTAATATGGGCATAATTTGTCTATGACCATTATGAATGCATCGATTTATATACTGATGAGTCAAAAAACCGAAAAAAATATGATAATATCCTTGTTTAAAATTATATTTTTAAGTAATTTTTACATGAGTATTAAATTTCCTCTTTAATTAATTAATAATTTTATTTCCCCAGTTTCCCAAGGATGGCCGGGGACTACGAGCGGTCCCACACGAGTGTCATGGAACGCGTCAAGCAATTTCTACGTTCGAACCTGCTGACGATATTAACAGTAGTGGGTGTATTGGGAGGAACTCTCATTGGTATAATCCTTAGGAACAATACAGACAAATGGACGGAACGCGAAGTTATGTACCTGCAATATCCCGGGGATCTATTCTTGAGGATGCTCAAATGTTTAATCGTACCATTGTTGGTAGCTAGTATAACATCGGCCATCGGAGCGCTGGATCTTTCCATGTCAGGAAGGATCGCCACAAGGTAAGCTTCTTTACACAATGATAATTTATAAACGTAAGGAATTGAATTATTCATGCTGCTGGTAGCAATTCAAATTATTAATAAATACATAAGCTCTTTCTACAATAACAGTTTATGATAACACAAAAAACTTCTTTAACAAAAATCAACTAAAAAACGAGAAATTAAAATGTAATTTAATTCAATAACGTTGGTGAAAAATGACTAATGATAAATTGTTTGAAAATACAGAAACACATTATAGCACAATAAATAATTACTTGTACTCTTAAATGTAAAAAAAATCACACTGAAAATGATCAGTTTCGTAAATAATGGTAGGTATTAATTGTCCATAAAAATACAAACTTTTTTTTACTAGTTTATTAAAACCGTTGAATAGTTCTAATATATCCTTACAAGTAAAGTGTAATATTAAAATGAAATTTCCCTTGTTATAAATCTTATTATCCAAGGATAATCCGGTGAATCGGATACTTTCGAAAGTCAGGAACGGTGGAGCGATCTCGTACGTTTTACTGGCTAACAAAGGATAATAACAATTGTGCTACTTGAAAAGATAGTGATATGCATATGCCATCGAAATTTGGGTAAAAGATGATTTATGTTTTGGCAAAGCAATAATCATTATATTTTACAATAAATTGAAAATTAAAAAATCATTCAAGAGTTATAACAAATCAAGCGCGCTGATTAATTTTGTCTAACAAATTTAAATAACAATTTGTCTAACCATTTAAAATATTATCTTATGATAAATGATATTTTCATAAATTTAAAGCTAATTCCAACATTTATGAACGGTTTATTCAATTGTTCATAAATACTAGATATATTTTCCATATTATTTAGGCGAATCTCATACATCTACCAACAATTCAATCTAAGTTTACATTTTATGTTTCTCATGCAACTCGTTCACAAAGTTTTACCAAAATTAAAATAAAAACTGGACAAATAAAGAAAAAATCATAAAAAATAAACTAATTAAAAAATTGTAATCAAATTTATTAACGTTTTTTCTAGATTCTTCATATATATTGTAATTACAAGTTCCAGGATTTACAAGTAAAAATATATTCTCATTCATTAATAATAATATTATTGGTCAAATTAAAGGCACACTATTAGATTGGCAACTAAGTAATAGCAAAGTTTTGTTCGAAACTCAGAGACATTAAGTTTATGGAACTAAATAGCTTTATTTGGTAATGTATAGTATATTTTGACTTTTTGTCATTTTCAAGTAGAATCATCATCTCAGGTTCATAATTTTTTTTTAGAAAGGTTTTTATTAGAAAAAAAAGACGAGGTACAATTTGTCATCATCATAATCCAAATGTTTTCCATTCAATAAGTTTTAAAAAGATTGAAACAAAAAGTAATAATAAGATGGAAGTCAGGAGAGTATGGTGGATATGGCAAAATATCCCAACAGAGCTCAAATAATTTTTGCCGAATAGCCAATGATAATGGAATAAATTATCGTTTCAATTTGCCAATTTAGGCCGCTTTTTTCAATATACATTATTTAATTTTGTAAGTTGTTTAATGTAGAAATCATAATTGATTCATCGATAATTCATTTTTAATCAACTCCAACTGGACGATCAGAACGTTTTAGAACTTTGAGTGAAAAATCACCAGAATGAAAATTGCCAAAGTAATTTCACATCTTTTTTAAGGCTTCGTTACCATAAACAGCTCATAATCTTTTGTGAACTTAAGATGCGTCTTTACCTTTGCAGAAATAAAAAAGCAAAGTATTACAAGAATTTTCAATTCGATTATCCATTTTCAATGAACGCCACACGAATACTACGCAACAAATAAAAAAAACTTTTTTTTTATGCACATCGAAACTAACACTAATATACATTAACAACAGGTATTTAACATTTGGACTATGTAAGCAAACCAAAAAATTCAATTGAAACCATCTATGCTGAAAACTGCACTTAGATTCCAACCTAAAAATTCCCTTATTTAAATTTTGAACCATAGTATGAAGTATTTCACATAAATTATGTACTCGTTATAATAAACTATTATATTTTGTAAAGGCAAGAATCTTTGTATTTATCAATTACAGAACAGGTTTGCAGAGAATATTTCTATGTAAAATTAATTTATTACAATTTCAATTTGGTATTTTCAAAGAATACAATATTTCTATCAATTTAACTATTTTCAGGGCTATAGTGTATTACATGACGACGACACTGTGCGCAGTGGCGTTGGGTATAGTTTTAGTGGTCACGGTCAGGCCGGGAGTGGGAGCCACGGCTACTGCGACAGGTATTGGGGCAGCTGCCACCAGGAATGTACTGACCAGCGACACGCTCATGGATTTAGTCAGGTAAAAACGATAAAAATTAAATATTTATTGATCTTTAAAATATATGTGCTGAAAATACCGATTACGATGATATCGACAAATATTGAATTGTTATCGAATAAGGAAGGAACAGTGCTCGTTCAAATGCCATATCTCATGACTATTATGTATTTGTTAGTTATTTCATTGATAGTTTTTTAATGATTTTCTTAACGAGTGATGTAATAAAACTGCTATATATGCAGTAGTATTTTTATACTCCATTTTTATAAATACCAATAATTTACATGTCGTTATTAGTAACAAATGGATTGAACTACTACTGGGTTGCTATCTATTCAAAAAGCTATTAAAACATATAATCAAAGCAATAACTGAATGTCCGAGTATGACAGATTGTAATTAAAAGTATAACAAGAAAAATGTTATAATATCAATTAGAAACAATAACTATTGCATTATTATTATGTCCTATCAACTAATTTTCTATTGTTGCATTTCATTTTCATTCATACGTGATTTTTGCAATACTACAACAGTCTACTTTTAAGGAAAATATAGGGAAACAATACAAGAATATAGTAGGATAGTTATATCAATTTTGTTTTTTCAAATTTACTTGCTGAAATTTCAAGATATAGTAGAACGACACTTAATAAACCGTTTGACTAAGTAGAGCAAAAGCAGTATCATTTCATTTCACAACTAGTGGGGCGCATGGCATCGTGTCTTAAGGCAAATTGCTGGAACTTCCCGTACCAAAAATTATTATTTTTTTAAAAGCGATTAACATTTTTGAAAAAGTTTTAATTAAAAAAAGTTAGATTTTTGAGAAACTATAAATTTGTCACAAAATTACTTTTTTTTGAAAAAAAAATGTTTTTTTATTTTGACATATTTTGGAAATTCTGATCTTTTTTTCAAAGCAGTCGTACTGCTTTAACTGCATAGAGACGAAATGTCTAAGCGCGTAAGCGCCGCGTCGCCGTCTAACGGATAAGTATTGGTACCGAACCCATAAGAATATAAACAAAATTTATGCTTATTGATAAAATCTCTATAAATTATCTGATAATTTGATGTGCATATGTCTAATGATCATTTTTGACCGCCAAATAGCATTTTTTTTACTTTTTTTATTAGATCTCCGAAACCGCTGGACCTGCCTGCATGAAAATTTGTTCAATTCTTTATCTTATCAATGCAAGTAAAATGCTTTTTGAATTATTGAAATCGGACGCTCCGTTCTCTTAAAAACTGAGTTACCGTATTTGGCACTTTTTGCCCCGTATCTTCGGAACGGCTAAACCTGCCTTCGCCAAAAACTAATCAGCACGTCTCCTTATCAATACGAATCGAATGTTTTTTGAATTATTCAAATCGGTTGATCGGTGTTCCCGAAATCACATACACACACACATACATCCATTTTTTCGAAGGTGTGCCAAAATGTTCAGAAGGTTTTAAAACGTAAAGATATATAAAAATTTTCATTTTCGATTTTTTGCGATTACTATAACTTGCCCTACGGGAAGTTAAAAATATGTTATGCATAGGACTTTAGAAAGAATAAAAAAAATAAATGGTTATTTTCAATTCTGATGATGAATGTGAAATTAAAATATCGCAAAATTTACATATGTATGAATATAATTTAAATGCAATTAATAAAGCAATAATAGAGTGGTCGATGGGACTTAATTCGTATCATCAGTTAAAAACAATACATTGAGTTTTTTACACACACACATATAAAATAAACAGTTAAAAAATTAGCAGAAAACTTTCATGATAATAAATAATAAAATAATAATAATCAATAAATGCAGAAGTTGTTGCCATAAATTAGAAGGCTTTCACGGCAATGACATTGTTGAAAAAGATCTGATCAACTTATCGAATACAATTAAAGCTGTCAACTAGATATTGATTTATAAACTTTCAAAATTTGATGTAAATAAAAGAAATGGAAAATTTGTAAAATATATTGATTGATTGTCATAAAATACAGACAAATTTTTAATCTCTAGCAATTAGTGTTGATAAACCGAAGATATTACGGGTCAAGGACTTGAATGGTCGAGAAGTCACATTCCTAATTACAAACATCAGACACTAATTAAATACAAACTAGAGCTTTTCAAGAAAAAAAACTCGCATATTTTTAATCAAGATAAACACAACTTAAATGAATTTTTAATTTTTCAATACTTAATATCATTTTAAGTCCCGTAAAAATTTATATGTTCTTCAATCGAATTTTGAGCGTATAAAAATAAATAATATAATAATAAATTATGATAAATATATATAATTAAGAGTAAAGCATTTATATAAGTTACAATTCTACTTTGAATTTTTATAGTATCCAAAGCAAATGATCATCTTTCAATCAGAAAACGCTATATTTTTATAGACTCAATTCGCAAGATGAATAATCAATTTTTGCTTTCGACAAAGGGCGATGATTCCGTGAGGGTTAAATGTCCCTAAATACTTAAACTAATTACAAAGTTTACTTAAATAAATTACAAAATCTGCATGAGCACAGTTCAAATTGAAATTTCACGTAATGTTGTCCGCTTCACGAAAGGTATATTATTTTAAGAAAATTTCATTAGTTACAAAAATACAGTTTTATTATAGACTATACTACTATAATTATATTTATTGGAAACAATAAATAATGATATTGTATTGATAGCCCATTGAAAAAATCTCTTAATTTCTCGTTAAAAGTAATCATTAAATCTTAGCAATCGTTTGTAAAATCTTTCATTTATTTTTTCAAAATTTATATTTATAAATTTTATTTTAAAGACGATGATATGGTATGATGATAATAGTAATTCAATTTAAATACGATGAATATAAAATAGTCAGTTAATTTAATAACTGAAAAATTAGTGCCTAAACAGAAACCCTATGTATTCATAATATAGAGGAGGAAAATTTGACTTCTTATTAATTCAAGTTTTATTAATTTTTTAAGTGCACTTAAAAAGATCCATTCATCAAACCTAATTCAATTTTTAAAATGTCGTAACTTTTGTTTTGATTTTAGTATAATGATATTGAATGAATAGTAATAATTAATAACTAATTATAATAACATAAGAATAATTCCCAAAATATTTTTATTTGTAATTCAGGTTATTTGTTTGTTTTTATATTGATTAGTTGATTATCGTTCATGTTCAAATTGTAAATACAATTTATAGAGTTATGTTTAATATTTATATATGCCTACAATACCAACGTCGACGATAAATCTATATGCGTATATTCATTGATAGATTTATAGACGGTTTAGGAAAAGTAAAAAACAGAATAAAATGAAATTAATAATAAATATATAATTACTCGAAATAAAAAAACAGACACAGAAATTTTTGAACTTACTCTACTCTTGATTTGCAACTTTTTTACTATAAATAAAATTGTTTTGCAACTTCTCTACTGTCAACGAATACGTTTTACTGAGAAAAATCTTCTAAAATTTGTGAAATAAAGTAAAATCACTACCAATCTGAGTAATATCATTTTGTGTTTATATGAAAAAGAAATCGAATATATTATATCGCTAAGATTAGATTTATTTCCAAAGATTTCCTCACTTCTGATCTTATTATTTTACATAATTACAAAGGGAGTTATGAATATGAATACTAATTTCGCGCTCAAAACTTGTATACCCTTGGCTCCAAAATGATAAAGTTATTTATGAATGTATTTCTGATTTATAACAAAATCTGATAAACTTTTAAGGATTTCAAACGCGCACGTGCATGTAAGTTTGATGAATGCACATATGTACGAGTATTTTATATAGTTGAATGCAAGGACGATTGCCAGTGATATGATTAAAAAATAGTTCTATAATTTCGGAACAATAATTTTGCATTCGAAGATGTTCTCTGACGTGGAACTAAATCAAAAGTCTAAAAATAGAGGAACTTACAATGGTCATAAATGTCGCTCCTCTCCTATGCAACGCGGCATCCTCTTACAATCATAGTATTAAGTAGCGAAATGACATAAATGATTGAATTGAAATAGCACACAAACGTAATGTAACTTCTGTTAAAATATTTGTATTATCAAATACTTGCATCACAGGTACATGAACAGTCTGAGCAAATAATATACAACGACCGGCACCGAATGGAAAACAAATAAAACCTTGTAAAACTAATGACATTTTTGGACGGTTTTCGGCAAGAGCAAGAGCTAATGTTGTAATACAAGTTTTTAGAGAATGGAATGCATCAAGATTTTATATAGTTTCCTGATTATAATTAAAATGTATTATTGATTTATTAACATACGCATAAATTATAGTATATAGTATATACATTATATGGTATATTCCATTTTAAAATCGCGTTCGATTCAATCAAATTATTCATCAATTGTAAAGTAATAATAATATAAAAATATAATGATTAGGCCAAATCGTCTATTAACAATATTATGATAATGAGATCGTTAGTACCTAATCAATTTTGTTATATCATATTTTTTAACCTTATTGCCTATCATGTGTTAGGTATAATTTTTCACTATTAATTTATCATATCTTATCAGTAATCATATTATTACTGGTCATTTAAAATTTCGGAAAAATAATTATCCAGAATTTTTAGCAAAGTATGTAGTATCTCTATTTTATAAATATTATTTTCATGTTATAACAATTATTCAAAAAAAAAAAGAGTTATTTATGTGGACAATATTTATCAACACTAATAATAATCCATAATAGTGACTATTTAAAAATTCGGAAAAATAATTGTATACAATCTTTAGCAAAAATATCAAGTATCTCTAGAACCTAGAGATATAGTGTATTATTATTCTTATGAAATTGAAAATATTTAAAAATATGAAAAATATTTAAAATATAATTTTTGACCATCAGTAATAGTACATATTTACTGATCATTTAAAATTTCGGAAAAAAATACCTAACAAAAGAATCACGTACCTCTAGTACGAAAATATTATCTTCATTATATCTA